GTGTCATCTTAGGCTGCAGTGTAGTACCTAGATCAAGGGAATTGATAGCTCCATTGTAGACTACACTAGTTAAACCATCTGGAACCTTGTGGCTAGTTGTAAACATCATAATAGGCACATAAAATTTTTTTGAATATGATTAGGATATTGAAGGAACTAGAAACCATGTCACATGAAAGATGATTGAATAAACTAGAAATGTTTAGCCTGGAGAATAAAACATTTCACTTTGTGTGTATGGGAGTAAGAGAGGATGAAAGGAGAGAACAGAATCTTTCTCTTAAAATATTTGAAAATCTTTGATGTGAAAGGTAGATTAGAGGTATTCTGCATGACTTTAAAAGGATCAATGAGCCAAGGTAAAAATAAGGAGGCAAATTTTAGACAAATAAAAGGCAACACTTTTTAAGGATTAGGGCTGTTCTAAGGATTAGGAAAGTGTTATTTTGAAAAATTGTGTTCTCCAATCAATGAAAATTCTCAAGGTATGGCTGGCCAAAGATCTCCAGAGATGTTCAAGGGGAAAATACTGCATTAGGGGTGAGGGGGATCTAAGTAAGCTGTTTTTATTTCTAATTCTAAGATTCTGTGACTCAGTGCTATGGATGGCATTAATTTATTTGAAATCGTAAAATGCAGAAGTCTAGACACCAGGCTACAATTTTCTTTCTTTCTTTTTTAATGCTATCTTCTTCCATGCTGCAGGCATTAACAAAATTTACTCTTTTGCTGTACCATTTATAATACCTATACTATAATACCAGATTCAGATGTGTAAAAATCACCTTCTACTGATTTAATACATTTCTCTATTGCTCACAGCAATTTGAGGGGCAATGTTGAGATTTCCCACTAAAGTATAAATCCATTCAGACAATGGTCGTTTTATTTCCTTTCTGTGATCAATCCTCATCTCTATGGAAGGAACATATCAGCCAAACACTTTTCTCCCAAAGCCCATATTTTTAGGAGTACTGCTCCTCCATTCACAATCCCTGTCATTTTCCTCTCTTACTTCTTGTGGTAGAGATTTAGGATGGTAAGATGGACATAAAGACAGACAGTGTCTCAAAATATGTCTGTCTAGCCAATTCAGTAGGATTAAATAATAGCTGCAAGGTATTGCAGGTTGTGATTATTCTCTAAAATTGACAGACAGAAAAACTATCCATTACTGCACTGTCTTTCTAGGTACAGATATGAATGTTTACATGTGTATACAGAGTCTACATGAGTACTTAACACTGCCACTTTCCATTAGGCACATATCTAGATCGCTGTCTCCTTTGCTTGTAAGTACAAGTTTTAAATCACCTAAGGAAAGCAACCTGTCTGTGTCTAACATATCACTCGTGATATTCACACTTGAGAAAACTTCACCTTGTTGGATTTATTTTAACTCGAGCCTGATGGATGGCCTTGGGAGCTGCAGCACTTTGAAATTCATGAGTGGAATTCAAATTGAAGAGTTTTTTCCCTGTTATTTTAAAAGGCATTACCAATTTAGCACTGCTGCCAAGGAGAGGATTCTGGTTGACGTAAAAGTGAGAGAAGTAGGCCCAGTAGGCACTAGAATTTTGTTTAGGGCAATGGCTTTAAACCTAGGTCCATGAATTTTTTTAAGGAAAAATTTTGGTAACTGTGTTTCAATATAATTGGTTTCCTTTGCAATCTCCTGTGTGTTTTATTTTTGTATACTTAAAAGCATTATTCTGGAAGAGATCCATAGACTTCACCAAACAGCAAAAAATGTCCACGACATAAAAAAAAGTCAACAACCCCTGCATTAGGGGGAGTTTTGCCCAAATCTGATTGTGTTGTATGTGGAAATCAACTTGTCCTTGGAAATGGGAATTTCTTTGATGATGAAAAATCAAGCTTGGTATATGAGATTAAGTTGTGACATTTAATAGAGGTGGAGTTTACTTGGTATGAATTAGGAAATGTGTTATAAGCTCTCTCTTGGGTTATTTGATTTTTAAAGCTCTGGACTTTATTCTGAGTGTTTTCATTACAATTGACACAAAGAAGTTGAAATTTCAGTTATGACACTTTATTGGGATTGGTTGTACCTTATGACAGAAATGGAATTTGTTTGGGTTTGGAATTTGCAGACTGTGTAAAGGGGAGAGACAAATGATATTTTAGAGATACCAGTTATATGTAGGCATTGCACCCATCACGAGATGGAACTTGACCACAAATTTGAACATTCCTTTCCGTGTGGCCACCATTTTTGATAATTTCTAGTGGAAATCCCAGTCTGATGTTTTAGGTTAGCGACAGGAAATGCAGTTCACCATATGAATGCTTGGGGAAGGCCCAGACTTACAGAGTCCTAAGGTAAGTCACATCATTATTACTGTATCTGTGATGTGTTGCATTAACAGGGCTCAGTTATAGGATTAACCTTTTGTGTGTACATGTGTATTCGAATAATGTCTTTGGTAAACTAAAATGATAAGTGACAAAGGGAAATACAGAAAAGGAAGATAACAAAGGGACTCATTTTAGTCACATGAAAGAGATAGACAAATGATAAATTTAGTGATTTAAAAAAAAAAACCCAGCCACTGTCAAATGAAAGTTCCATTCCCCCAAACCTGTTCTATACAGTACCCTGAATGATTTTTGAGTGAAATTTTAATGTATTTACTTGATTTTATTTTATTTTTTACCAAAATTAATCTGGAAAACAAAGTAGTATGGCCACTTGCTACATATAAATATTCATATTCATAGCAGGGAAAAACTTACCTGCTAGATTTGTGCTTCATATATTCAGATGAAGAGTACGTCCTGTGTTCTAACCTGCATCATCAGATCACTTAGAATAAAAGCTTTTTGCATTGAATTCTGTGTCTGAATTAATTCAGCTTTTGGTCCTTTGTCATACTGACAATACAAAAATGCTTACCTATCAAGGTTTCATAATGCATGTTTCCTTCATTTGGATACTGTCTATTTTTTAAAAAATCTTTTTAATAATTTATTTCTCAAAGCATTTTCCAAAACTAAATTACTTTTTACTGTTTCTGCTCTGGGTTTTGCTTCTTCCCATCCTCATCTTAAGTTGCAAATAGACCACATGCACAATTTCAGTATTGCTCTGTTTGTAGTCAATTACAGAAGGAAGATTTTTTTCTTAAAATGGGAAGCAGAAAAAAAAGAAAAAAATTGTTAATTGTGATCTATATCAAAGTTTGTGGAATTCTGTACTCCTTCTATTTTTCCATTATACCATTAAGAACTTGTACTATCAGACAGTTTCCTTTGATTATACATGCTTTAAAAAAAACTTGAAGGTATTTTGCTTCCTTATGTGTTGTGATGTGTCCAGTTTGTTTTATGTTGCATCCTTCATTCATTACAACTACATTTAATGCCAACAGTAACTCCAGTGTCCAAATGGAAAGGGAAAACGTAGAATGAGATTTGGAAGTGAGAAAGTTGCAGTGAGGTTAAGAAAGTTGTGAAGGGAGAGATAATAAATTAAATCAGCTTTTCCATCCCCCAGTTCTACTTCCTGTGAAGAGAAAAGTCTCAGAAAGAAACAACAACAACAACAAAAGAAAGCATAGCTGAAGGAAATTCAGTCCTTTGGTTCTATAAAACATTACTCCTATTTCATGTCATGAGAGTAGGAGAATACATGTGGATAATGAGAAGTCTGAAAACCTAAAGACATTTTGCCTTGAGAGAAGTAGCAAAAGACCTAAAGGACAATGACAATTGAATGGTGGAATTATCTTTATCTGTCTTTCTAAGGTAAAAGGGCAGTTTGGATTTAACAATCTGGGCACCCCGAAGTCTGCTGAGTAGAGAATAAGCAAACACTACCAGAGATCACAATCTATCTGTTGCTACTTTAAAAACCTTTAACCAGATAAGTAAAAGAAACACCTGCCATACACTTAGGTAATTTGACAGATGGTGACAGCAGAAACACTGCCCCCTATGTGACGAAGCATAATAGATGCTTTTGTGTTTCCACTTCTTTTCCCTTTAAAAAAAAAAAAAGGCCATCTGGTATGAAAGGTCAGCATGAAATGCTGCCTGGCAGTCCATTTCCCAGCTGGCTTATTTTAAGCTCATGTTACTCATGAATTGAATTTTCAATTGGATAGCAGTGGCCAGTTAGCTGAGCAACTTGTGTGCATATATATATATATATATATATATATATATATATATATAGTCCCACAGATGCGTAGCACTGCCACAATAACCTCGAATGCCAGGTTAATAGATATATTTACCTGTCACATGCTTAACAATGAGTCTGAATGCAGTGGTAGGTTGGTCTCTACCTCTTTGGTCTTTCCTGCTGGTCTTAAAACAACACCATCATTCTGAGTTTGCTCAGAATGCTAGGTCTGGAACAGACCTTAAAGAGTAGATGAAGAAAATGAGGCCTAAAGAAGTTAAGGAACTCACTCAAGGTTACTTGACTAATTTGTAGCAGTGTTAAGATGTGAACCTAGCCTTCTGCCTACTAGTCTGGTAGTTACTTCCTTTATGCCAGGGGTTCTTAACCTGAGATCCATGGACTCTTAAGGGGTCTAAGGATAGATTTCAGTGGGTCCATGAACTTGGGGGGAAAATTACATATTGATTTTCATTAACCTCTAACTGAAATTTGGAATTTCCTTCAACTATGTAAAACTATTATTCTGAGAAGGGGTCCAAAACCTTCACTAAACTGCCAAATGGGTACATGACACAAAAATAAAAAACAAACCCTTGGTTTAGGTAGAGGTAGAGAGAAAAACAGTAGCCTTCCTTCATTGACTGTGAATTTGGACATATCTTTGAGTATGACCCAGAAATAGTGATTATGACCTAATCCTTTGAGGAAATCGGGTCCTAAAAGTATAGCTCTGAAATAAGGTTAAAGGAAAGAGAAGCTAAAGTTTAGAGAGGGATTTCCACCAGTTGGATTGAGATTTTTCCAGCCAACATCACTGATGACCTTTTATGTATGTGTTGACATCTTTTAGGTATCTCCCTAGAGGGCTTCATCAAGGATGGCTTCACTGAACAGTCAACATATAAGGAGAGCTCCAGTAGGGACAGAGATGTATGGGTCTTGGGCTACAGATCAGGACCATCCTATCCCTTCCTGGTCCATGAGGAGAAAGAGAAGCCCAGCAGGAGTGAGTTACATTTGGACCTTCATGTGAGTATTCCAATAGAAGTATGGGTGTTTGTGCTGTGGTTTTATGTAATCAATACAGACTCATTTAATATTATTAATCCATACCTATATTTATATGATATGTTGCATGGTTCACAAACTTATTTAGATCAGAAAGATATTGTGTTTTTTTTTTTATTTTGGTCATATAAAAATGTGAGCTCTGAGAGAAGACAGTGCTTTCTCAAAACAAAAGGAACAGGTAAACTGAGATTAAATTACTTGGCTTGGAGTATGTCAGAGGTAGAATCAGAAACACAACTTAGATTTCTTGTTTCCCTATTTATCAATCAATAAGCATATACTTAGTATATGCCAGGAATTGTGCTAAGTGATGGGGATATAAAGAAAGACAAAAACACAGTTCCTGCCTTAAAGAGCACTAATAATAATAATAAATAGCTGTTAGTATTTATACAGGGCCAACTATATGCCTGTAACTGTGCTAACTGCTTTACAATTATCTTATTTGATTCTCACAACAACCCTGGGAGGTAGGTACTATTATTATCCCCATTTTACAGATAAGGATACTGAGGCAAGAAGAGTTTAAATAACTTGCCCAAGGTCACACTTTGGCAGGATTTGACCTCAGGTCTTCCTCATTCCAGTCTCCATCTAATGTGGGAGACAACGTGTAAATAAATATATACAAACTATATAAGGTGTAAATGGGAGGTAATCTCAGAGAGAAAGCACTACCAGTGAGAGGAGGGGGCAGGACAAGCATCCTGCAGAAATTGGGATTTGAACTGAGTCTTGAAGGAAGCCAGTGAATCCAGGAGGCAAAGATGAGGAGGGCCAGCGTGAACAGTCAGATTCAGGAGGTGAAATGTCATGTTCGATGAATAGCAACAAAGTCAAGGTGACTATGTGGAGAGGAGTAAAGTGTGGAGAATGGGAAGGTAAAAAGGGCCATGTTGTGAAATGCCAAACAGAGGATATTATATTTGATCCTGTAGGGAATTAGGAGCCACTAAAGTTTGTTGAGTGGGGAAAGAACAACAGGGTTAGACCTGGGTATGAGGAAAATCATTTAGGCAGCAATTATCAGACTATTTAATGCTGGTTAGACTCTTATATTGTTTTCAAATGATAGCCCAAGTGACTCTATAATAGTTCTAAGTTGGTTCATTGATAGAGACTCTTTAGAAGTCATTTTGAAGAAATCTGAAGTAAAGAAATCTCATTGCAAAGAATTGTTGTACTGTGGAGACTTAAGTGAAATCCATGTATGTACAGTATTATAGCTGCAAGAACCTGCCTTCCTTTCTTACTTCTATCAAGTAACAGGGTTGGTACTTAAGTTCTCATAGTTGGAAAGGAATTTAGAAGCTATTTTGTCAACCCAGACTTGAACATGGATTCCCCACTACAAAATGCCTGGCAAGGGGCTAAATAAACCTTTTTTGCTTGAAGACTTTCAGTGAAGAGGAACCCAGTAACATGAGGCAGCCCATTCCACTTTAGATAGCTCTAATGGTCAAAAAAGTCTTCTTCCCCACCCCCATCCCACAACCCACTATTGTTAAGCCTATAACAATAGCTAATAATACTAGTATTTATATAGTACTTTACATTTTGCAAAGCTCTTTACAAATATGATCTTATTTTGTCCTCTCAACTGTGAGGTAGGTGTTATTACTATCCCCCTTGTACAGACCAAGAAACTGAGGCAGGCAGACTTGTCTAGTATCATACAACTAGTAAATGTCTGAGTCAGTAGTTGAACTCAGGTCTTCCTGGTTCCAGGTCCAGCATTCCATCCACATATCTTCCTGTTGCCTTTATTTGCTTCCTTGATACTCCCGCTCATTGTTTCTAGTTCTACCATTTGAAGGTCAAAAAGAATAAATCTAGCCCCTTTTTCCATGTGAGAGCCCTTCAAATAATTGGAGATAATTATCTTGTCTCCCTCTTCCCCGAGTCTGCTTTCCCTCCATCCTCAGCTCATTCAAACAAACTAATCCACATATGATGTGAGCCCAAGGTCCTTTATCATCCTGTATACACTCTGCATACTCTCCAGCTTAGCCAATATCTTTCTTAAAATGTGCCCAGTACTAAATGCAAACAGAACTGATTTAACTTCCCAATAGGAAACCTATATAATTCATGAGGGTCCCTTTAGAATATAGTGTTTTCCCTTTTTTAATTAATTAATTCATTCATTCATTCATTCTTTCATTCAATAAAATTATATCCAATACATATTTAATAAGCTCTTACTGCAGATAAAACATTATTTTTAAGGAGATATTCACCTTTCTTTTTGGTGAGGCAATCAGGGTCAAGTGACTTGCCCAGGGTCACACAGCTAGTAAGTGTTAAGTGTCTGAGGCTAGATTTGAACTCAGGTCCTCCTGACTCCAAAACCAGAGCTCTATTCACTGCACCAACTAGCTGCCCCTAACATTCACCTTTCAAATAAGCTGAAATAACTGATCATACTACAAATATTCCCACTGGCTTTGGCTCTATCTATTATCTCCAATTTCCTTTTTTTTTTTAAAAATTTTTAAAAGCAAATCTTTCCCTCCCACAGGCCTCCAAATTAAGGAACTCACCCCATTCCCCCAACAAAACTTTCATTAAAAATACACACAGTCCTGAAAAAGAAATTCCCCCCATTGGTCATGTCAAAATATGTATGTCTCATTCTATATTTTAAGTCCATCACCTCTCTAGCAGGAGGTGGATTGTTTGTTCCATCTTTGAATGGAACCCTTTGGATTCATGGTATTTCATTGCATGATTCAGAGTTCTAGTCTTTCAAGATTGTTTTTCTCTATAATACTGTTATTATATGAATTGTTCTCCTATTTTGACTTCACTCTGCATCAGTTCATAGAAATCTTCCTAATTTCTTCTGAATCAGTCCATTTTATCACTTCTTATTACATTCATATATAGTAATTTATTTAGCCATTCTCCAATAGGTGGGTATCTCCTTGGTTTCTAGTTTGGGGCTACTATGAAAAGAGTTACTATAAATATTTTTGCGCATATAGGTTTTTTTCTTCTTTCTATGATCTCTTTGGGGTATAGGGTAAGTACTTTGTGCCCAGTCTCCCACCAGTGATAGGAATTTGTATCCAACCAGTAGTTAAATTAACATATTTAGGTTACTGTGAGCCCTACCTAAAGTCATTGTTTCTTAACATTTGTATGTCCCTGTTGCTAGATCCTTCTTAGGCCTTATCTAATTACTTTTAGACTTTGGACCTATTCGCATGGCTGGTTTGGATTATGCACCGTGTTGCTCAACAGGCATGATGATTTACTTCTCACAATTTTCAAAATCCACTCTGGGTGTGGCTTTGACTTTTCCTGTGGGAAACACAAATTAATAATTATCTTCTCTCCTGGAGAAACAACAGACCTCTCTCAGCCAGGCTCCTCTAAAGGGCGTTTGAAATTACCCTGCAAGTTGGAAATCGCTCTTTAGGGGCTGACATGGACTTTGCTAAACATTAGTCACTTCCTATTTTTCAAACTAGTTTCACAACCTGAATGATGGACTGGAGTCTTGGAGGGCAATAGTGACATCTATTGGTGGAGTAGCTGGAGAGAATTTAAATGGAGATTACTGAATGTAGCAGGACTGTCATGTAAAAGCTGCTGGACTTATATATTGCTGATCAGTTTTTTAAAATCCTAGTTTCTGACCCATATATTCCTTGTTAATTAATATAGCTCATAGGATTGTAGATTTACAGTTGGAAGGGACCTTACAGGTTATTAAATCCAAGCCTTCATTTTACAAATGAGGAAACTGAGGCCCAGAGAAATTAAGGTCATACAACTAGTAAATACTTAAGGCAAATTTGAACCCAAGTCTTTTCAGAATCTAAGGCCGGCGCTCTATCTACTATGGCATGTAGTGTCTCAGTTGTCTTTTCTTGTATTTGTGGGTAGGCCTTAATACTTTATAAATCATAGCTTCTCAAGTGGTATTATTTTCTTGTTTATATACTACTCTTTGAAGGCGACTATAGTAGATAGCAAAAGACATTTTTTTTCTCCTGGTGATCTGAACATTTAAGGTAAGATTCTGTTCTCAGGAGAAAAGGGAATAATATCGTACCATTTTTTGACCAGTCAGCGAGTATTTATCAAGCACCTAATATGTGTCAGGCACTGGGCTGAGTGCTGATCAAGGGAGGCAATGTGTTACAATGGAACGAGTATTGATCTTGGAGTCTCAGGAGCCAAGTTTAATCTTGATTTTTTTCATTTAAAACCTGTGTGACAGGGAGCACATCATTTCACTTATCTGGCCTTCAGTTTTTTCATCTATAAAATCCAAGAGGTTGAACTAAATGACTTCTAAGATCCCTTCTATCTGTATCTAGTTCTATGATCCTGTGATATAGAATTACCCACAATGTTCTATTTTTAGCTCTGTTCCTGATTTAAAGTGTGACCCTTGGGGAAGACTGTTAACCTTCCTGGGTCTTTTTGTAGATGAGAGATGCTTTTTCCTCATTCGTTTGTCATTGAAATTCACCACATGGGCAATTAAAATGTATTCCTCTTTAGACCAAGGCTGCTTACTGTTACACATGGGATCAGGTAGGTTCAAATAAGACTGAACTTGATGCTTCATCAATTTCACTTGTGAAGTTTTGAGCACTCATTTTTAAGCGAGATGCCAATGAATTGAAGGAGCAAATGGTGGGAAAAAATGATGAAAAGCTACCACTTTGGTGGTAGCACGTGGAGCTGACAAAACCTTAGTCATCTCCAAGTGCACAAACACCCTCATGAGTGACAAATATGGAACACGAAAATTTAAAAAAAAAAAGCCAAAAGCAGGCTGCTATTTATTTACTCTTACTACTGCCTTCCCAATTTCCTTTGGTTTGGGTTGTTGTTTAAAGGTTGTTTTTGTTCAGTTGTTTTCAGTCATTTTTGACTCTTCATGACCACTTCTGGGTTTTTCCTTGGCAAAGATACTGGAGTGGTTTGCCCTTTCCTTC